AGGTACAGGACCTAAGTTCCTACCTTTCTCTTCTGCCTTCTCATGCAGACTAAGTTATCTCCATTTTTACCTTCAGAGCCAGCAAGTTGGTTTGTTTGCCCCTCAGAATTGTATATTGTTTGTTCAGGTAACTCAGGAACTCACTCCCACCTTGTTGCTCCCTATGCAGAAGCCTGGCGTCCTCTGCTGCGGAGAGTGATGCCACTTTGCAGCGGAAGCTCCGGCAAAAACAGCTGCAGCAGCAGTTCCGGGAGCAAATGGAGAAACAGCAGCGAGTTCAGCTATCTGCTCCATCCATTGAAAAGAAGAATCCAGGTTTGTGAGAAGGCTGGGAGCAGAGGCCCCAGGGAGGTGTCCTCAGTACCCCAGGGAAGGCTTGTGGTCTGAGGACTCTGATCCTCTGCCAGCACAGTATGGTTAGTCCAAACCAGAGCTCCAGTAACACACAGGATAGATGAGACAAAACAATTAAGAGTGAAATCCTGTGTATTTTCCCCATTTCTAAAGACACTAATCTTTCGGGGGTGGGAGGGAGATGGGGAATGGGCCTTGACAAAATCCGAAACTTGAACTAGAAGTTTCTCGGTACAGAGGGTTTTTTGCTCGTTACTTTGACTGCCTCTGCATTACAAAGCCTTTCTGAGCTGACTTTGAATATAAGGAAGATTTGCATTTGAAGGTAATGGGGGCTTCTGGTAATTATTTATCTGTGACCTTGTTTATTTCAGAGTTCAGATTCAGTGGGAGTAGTATATAGAAGTTATTTTTGGAGTCTTTCCCAGAGAGTAGAAACAGAAAGGCTAATCCCAGATCAATGGGATTTTTGCTTAGCTTCTCCCTAAGAATTATGAAGTTTATAAAGGACTTGCTTTCATTAATATTCCCCTCAGCGCTGAGGCTGAAATTAATGTAGAGGGGGAAAAAACATCAACTTACGGTGCTTGGATGTTCTTAAGAATTATTCTAGATCTTTAGCTTCCAAACCATTGTAGAGTCCCTGAGGGCGAGGGGTGGAGGAGAGTCCTCCAGGCCTTTCCCCCACCCCTATTCAGAGTCATTGATTATATTGGTTTCTCTATATTGAATCTCTACTTAAGAATATCTTGGAACAAAGTTATAGCTTTAAAAAGTAAAAACTAGGCCAGATGTCTTCTAATAACCCTTCTATTTATGTCCCTAAAGGAGAAATAAACTGTTTCTCCCTCCCCAATTGGGTAGGGGAAAGGCTGTTTTGAACCTCATATAGATCTACAGGGGGACTGGGACTCAGGGTGTTGAATTCTGCTATTGGCTGTGCTATGAACCAGTGTAACTCTAGGCTGCTTTGCACTTCTGAGGCTGCTCCCTCACACTTGAGTTCTGCGGTCTCTCCTGTGTAGCAGAGCCACCGGTGCCGCCTTTGAACCACAGCACTCCCAAAGCTGATGGTGCAGAACCAATCACCGAGAAAGACTTTCCTGCAGGTCAGTATATGCTACAGGGGTGGGCAAACTTTCTGACTCGAGGGCCACAATGGGTTCTTAAACTGGACCGGAGGGCCGGAACAAAAGCATGGATGGAGTGTTTGTATGAACTAATATAAATTCAAAGTAAACATCATTACATAAAAGGGTACGGTCCTTTTTTTTTTTTTTAGTTTTATTCATTTCAAACGGGCCGGATCCGGCCCGCGGGCCGTAGTTTGCCCATGGCTGTCTAGAGGGATGCTAAGTATTAATCAGGAAATACCTACGAATTGCTTGTAAGTTACTGTACTGGATACCTTGGGTAGTTAGAAATGCATTTTAAAAAAGGCATAAAAGCCCTGGCCGGTTTGGCTTAGTGGTTGGAGCATCGGTCCTCTGACTGAAAGGTCGTGGGTTCGCTTCCTGGTCAATGGCACATACCACAGTTGCAGGTTCCCCAGCTCTGGTAGAGGCACATATGGGAGGCAACCAATCAATGTACCTCTCTCACATAGATGTTTCTCTCTCTCCTTTCCACTCTCTCTGGAAATCAATGGGGAAAATATCCTCAGGTGAGGATTTAAAAAAAAAAAAGAGGTATAAAAATCCCTTCTGCTTTATAGCCCCATGAAGTTTTAGGAGAAAGAGGACCCAGAGTGGATTGATAGCAGTTCTGACGGTAGCACAGATTTAGCTCCCTTACTGTCCTAACAGAAGTTTCAATGTACTTTTAGGAGTTGGGGAGAGAGAATCTATAAACTATCAATGGGCACTCATGATATGTGATTTCTTATGACCTGCTTTTCTAGTACTTTATGTGAGAACACTCCCTTCTTTGTTGATACTACATTTTCCTGTGATCTCTGTCTTTGCAGACAGTTTTGAAATATGGGATATGGTTCCAGAGGCAGGCGACAGTGCTGTCAAGCCCTTGTCTATACCAGAATCACACCAGACTGCCGCCACACCAGTCCTGAAGAACCAGATGGTGACCCGGAGCAGGACCCCACAAAGCCTTTGCCACCAGAATCCACAAGCAAAATCGCACCTCCAAACTCCCAACGTTAACCAACACATAATAGGTAGCAAAGTGTTTTAGAAACAGATATTGGAGAACCTGGGTTTAGTTCTATGAATTTTAAAGGTGGAATAGCATTCCATTTAAAAAAGTTGGGTAGAATCATGACAGAGGAATAGCAGAAAATAGAAGGTAATTGGTTTGAGAGCCAGAACTTGTGCTGTGCAATCCTAGTGGGAAGCTTAGGCATGACTGCATTAGGAGCTTTTCCTATGAAAAGTGGGCCCGCCATGATTACTTACAATCTGGTCTAGAGTTAACAGAGGGATGTCTTCATAACAATTTTCATTCTTAGGTTTTCAGTTTATTAGGATCATTAACTAATTCAGAAATTACTAGCTGTGAGTTCATTTTAAAATCATGGCAGCTATATTTTAACAGCTTTCTCTTGCATAGGAAACTGTGATTCCTACAGGAAGAACCAGGAGTTGAAGAAAAGGAAATTGGATCCATCTTAACAGAGGCTCAGGTCACCTCACCAGACTCTCACAGAGGGACTTTAGAAAACTGCTTTTTGGCCATGAAATTGTTCATTATATTCCTAGGGAATGAGCTTTATTTCCAAGGATTTACTTGGCTTCCTTCTGAACTTTTCCAGAGGATATGACTACTGGAGCCTACTGCAGATAAAGCTGAGCAGCTGGAAAACAAGTACTCTAAAAAAGCTTGTTGCGACACGGCGGCGGTCCCTGAGCAGATCGGACCTCTCGTTCGTGCACCTTGCTCAGTGTCCTCTGCAGCCAAGTCTGACAAACCCGATATGGCTGAGATTGAGAAATTCGATAAGTCGAAATTTAAGAAGACAGAAACACAAGAGAAAAATCCACTCCCTTCAAAAGAAACGAACAGGAGAAGCAAGCAGGCAAATCATAATGAGGCACGTGCCGCCAATATGCACTGTACATTCCACAAGCATTGCCTTCTTATTTTACTTCTTTTAGCTGTTTAACTTTGTAAGATGCAAAGAGGTGGGATCAGTTTAAGTGACTGTGCTGCCCCTTTTCACATCAGAACTACTGACAACGAAGGCCGCACCTGCCGCTCCCACCTGCCTGGCTGGCTGGCGGGGAAGGGGGACAACTTGCATTTTGGTGAAGGAACGAGCTGGGTGGGACGAAGGTGAAATCTAGAGTTAAACCAAGCTGGTCCAAGGGGTCCTGCGGGCTGTAAAATGCAGTTTAATCAGAGTGCCATTTTTTTTTTTTGTTCAAATGATTTTAATTATTGGAATGCACAATTTTTTAAATATGCAAATAAAAAGTTTTAAAACCTGAAAAAAAGAAAAAGAAAAGCTTGTTGCACATTGAGTAGGCTTTGGGTAGATTAAATACCTTTTCTTGGGCTCTTGATGCTCATTATTTATTCTTATTATATTAATACAGAAATTTTAGGCATCACCAGTGGCTGAAAGTAACATAAGCCATACTACCAAGCACCAACTTTTAACAACGACCTACATTACTGGGTGTCTGCCTTTCACTTCAGGGCACCAAGTTCCAATGTTGCCCACACAAGGACTGTACGTCACGCTTGGAACAAATTGGGAGTGGTGTTTGACTCCTGTGCATCAGAGTCCAGGCTGATCTTCATCCATGTTAATCTCTCATTTAATTAGGGGGACAATGATGTAAAGCCAAAGAAAAGGAATTTCAAGAACACAAAATAAATCCATTATTTGGTAACAAAATAGAAAATGTAAGTTGCTGTATATAGTTCCCCATTCAGATGTGTGATAAACCCATCTTAACAATAAATTGTTTTTCCATCATGCTTTGTAGATGTTTCATAATTCTTTCCCTCAAATAATGAGTTTGCAAGTCTACTTTTTAAGGTGCATTTTTGGGCTGTACCTTTTAATCTAATCTTGAAGCAGTGGCTTTTATTTTTTTGAATAACATTCATTTGTGGGAAGCTGGGAACCTGAGGCAAGGAACTCTTAAAGAACAGAAGGCAGTAATCCATTTCTATTTCTTGGGAAGATGAAGAGGCAGTGGCTTACCCTAATTTCTCTCTTTTTTTAAATCCTTACCTGAGGATAATTTTCCATTGATTTTTAACGAGAGTGGAAGAGAGAGGGAAAGAAGAGAAATATTGATGTGAGAGAAACACATCAATTGGTTGCCTCCTGCACAAGCCCTGACCAGGGCCCAGGCCAGAAAAAAAGCCTGCAACTGAGGTATGTGCCTTTGAGCGGAATCAAACCCGGGACCCTTCAGTCCACAGGCCAATACTCTATCCACTGAGCAAAACCGGCTAGGGCTGATTTCTCTTTTATCTCACCTATTGTGCAGATTTGGTTATATAGCCATCTTTTGATTTTGATATTCTTATCATCTTCAGAATATCATCTTTGTCTGCAGCATAACCATAGTTCAGGTCAGAACTGCCACTAAAGTTAGGAATCCAGTTATAAATTGCACACAAAACAGCTAATGAAATCATGAAAAATGAATTGGTTGGGAATGAAACCCCACAACTCATCAAAAGCAAGTTTGGTTTATTTGAATGGTTTCATTAAATAAGTCTACAAAGGTTACAAACTGAAGCACAAAGCGCAATCTTACAAGAAGCGCAACACCCAGAGTTAGTGCAAAATGTACAATTAACGGCTGCGGAGAAACCCAAGGTTTGAATTGTTTATTCATTTTTTTTAAAACAGTATACATTGTTAAATAATGTAAGGAAAACATTTATAATTCAGAAAGATTTTTTAATGTGGAAAAAGATACTCAAAGTGTACTATTAACACAAAAATAATTTAAACATTTCAGTAGCTAGTTCATTCCTCTAGGCTTCAGTTATTTCATCCACAGGAAGGAAAAAAAAATCAACAGTAAATAAAACCAGTTCTTTTTTGTGAATGAAGAGATCCCAAAATTATTGAACCAAAATAACAAACAATGTGCTGCATTTGGCTTGCTTGTTTCTCTAGTAAAAAGTATTGTTTCATTTGTCTTAGGTGGTCCATTTCTCGTTAATTTGGCCACCTTCTTTGTTCTATTCCTTACTCTTACCATCTCCCCAAGAATTATAAGCAGAGAATAAGTAAACAATTTTGAAGGAGGGCTTGGAACCTCTGCCCTTTTCATTTCTACCTTCCTAAAACCTTCAGCTTTCATTTGCATCATTGGGGCCTAGGCTAATGTAAAGAAACAGGGCCCACGAAGGGACAACAGGATAGGAGAGCCAAATAGGCTCTTCCTATTGTGGTGATTCCTGGGATGTGCCGTTGAGGTGGGTAAGAGGTTGGAAATATGTCAATTTCCCAACTCAAGAGTCAAGACAAGAAGCACCCAAAAAATTAAGAGTCCTAACTTTTTCCCCATCTTCAGAGATAATAGAGACCCCCAGTTAGCCAATTAGGAGAGTATTTCCTGAAAGCTCTGAAAATAATAGAACTGCCCATTATAACTAGGCATAGCACTAAATAACACTGGTTGGTTGCAGTTATTACTTAAGGAGAATATTTGTTAAAATGAAATGTGAGAATATCAGTTGCAATTGCAGAAATAAAGGTGGCACAACAGATTATGATCCTGCAACCATTTGGACATAGGAGAAGAACAGGAAGAATATGATTCTTTCCTATAATGCTTACTTCAGATGTGGTTCCACTTTCCACAAAAATACAATACCCCAAGCTGAGAAATGCCTGGTACATTTGCAACAAGAGGAAAGCAATCCAAACAGTTTTTTTTAGAGCAACTTTCTCCATTTGTGACACTTCTCACTATCACGTTTTCCAACTTCAAAACTAACCCCCTCTCGCTTCCCATGTTCAGCCATTTCTTCTAGGTCTGTTCAAGCCCAGCTCAATGAGTAAGGCTATGGCCAGGCATCACATTACTTCAAACAAGTTTGTTCTCCCATACCTTAGTCTTTTTCTTTCACTTGTCCCACGCCTCCTTTAATCTTTTAAATTGCCCAATTTTATTACAGCACCCCTCCTCACTACTCCTGAAACAGAACTTTCTGCTTTCAAGCACTGATGTCAACTTAATTTCTCAACCTGCTCATCTCACACCTGCTCTAGACAAAATTGTTAAGTGACTTAAGAACACTCTCAATTTCCCTTTGGCATAACCCACTGCTGGGGTCACCTGGGCCTTAGATTTCCTCCCACATGCCCTTTGCTGATCTGGGGTCTGATGAGAAGTTGACGCTAATGGCAAAAGCAATAGAAGTCCAAGGCACTAAAATATCCAGCAAGCAATACTGGGAGAACAGAAGTATTCAAGTAAGTAATTTATACAATTTTACATTCACATTTATTTATCTAATACAATGGAAATACAAAGGAAAACGTTAAAGTGTCTCAATAAGTAAAGGACAGAGCTAGCTTTTTTTTCAACCTTTTAAACCTTTCATATTTTCATCTTAAAACTACTGTTGTCCAACAACATTTATATATCACAGTGTTTCCACATCAAAACTGATGGCAAAGTTACATGTCCGCAGGGAACGTTTTTTTCCTAATTACTAATGCTGCAGTCAAAGCTGCTAATATCATCTGCTTAAAGCACTAATGACCTATCATAAGAAAGGGTTGAAACTTCAGTCTTCTGGTGTTTTTCACTGGGTTCTAAAGAGAGAGAGAGAAAAAAAGGGGGTGGGGAAGAGTGGGGGTGGGTGGAGGAACAGGGTAAGAAAGAACCCAATACTTTTGTCTTGTGGCTTAGATTCTTGAGGGAATGAGGGACTTGGGGTAGGTACCAAAATTAAGAGCTACACCCACTTAAAAATACAGGTGGGGTTTGGTTTTCCCTTGAGCACTCTAATAGCTTCCTGATAAAAGCCCTTCTCTTTCCTAGCCCTCACTGTTGGGTACAGGTAAACAGGAAAGCACAAGTTGAAGCTACCCCACCACAAGAAAGCTGCTCTTTCCTTCTTGTCCCACTCCAATTAATGGTGAAGGGGAGGAAGACTCTCCATTTTGAGGGCTCTAAGCAGTATTAAAAACATTCCTTTCTGGCAAGAAATAATCAGTTAAATGCAGCACTAGTAGTTAGTATATAGGCTACTAACCCCTCCACCCCCAATCACTCAGCACTCTTTCCTGTCCCCAAATCTACTCAGTTAATGTCTCTAGGTCTAAGTGGTCCGCAGGTTGGAACCTGGGGGGTTGCTGATGGATTTCTGCAAATTGCTGATGTTGAAATTCTGTAAGGAGGCAGTCCCCACAGGCTGGAACTGCCCAAGTGGCTGTGGTGCAGGGCCACCCGTCCCACTCCATTGAGTGCCAAAGGGAGGAGCTGGAAAACTGTACTGCTGTGGGGGGCACATAGACTTGGTGAAGTGACCTAGAGAGGTAGCTGATGCTGCAGAGATGGGGGCAGGGCCACCCAGGTTTGAGGTCATGGAGATGCACAGCTGACCAGGTGCTGAGAACTTCCTTGCCATTCCAGGGCCCTGAAAACAAAACAACTCATTGTAAAGTGTGGTGTAGGCATAACATGCGTGAGTGTGAAATGGGCAATACAAAAATACAATTTTACAACTGGGGCTGTTCTACTCTTATAAACCCTTTCATAATAATAATTATTGGCTCTTTACACTTACCTAACAGGTGAGAATAACCATTCAGTTTGGAACTGAGTGGTGGTGTGTGTGTGTCTGTTTGTGTATGACGACGGGCATGCAGTTCAGGGTAATAAAGGAAAGGGAAGAAAAAATTGAGTTGACCAATAGGGAGTGAAGGATTCAGGGAAGGAAAAATAAAAGGGTACTTGGGTGATTTTTGTCTTGTTTTTCTAAAAGTATTAAAATTGCCTGGCTGGATTGATACAGTGGTTGAGCGTCACCCCATGGACTAGGTCACAGTTTGATTCCCGGACAGGGCACATGCCAGGGTTGCAGGCTCGATCCCCAGTAGGGGGCGTGCAGGAGGCAGCCGATCAATGATTCTCTCTCATCATTGATGTTTCTATCTCTCTCTCCCTTCTCTCTGAAATCAATAAAACCGTATTTTAAAAAAGTGTTAAAATTAATGAGCTACTAAAGTAGATCACAGCCTGAAATGTTAAGCATGGTCTCAGATGTGCTTAGTGACACTAATCGATTAGGAAAATGGAAAAAAAGGAAAACTTACCTCATAATTCATATGTCCTTTGCTTCCTCTCCTGCCTGAAAGATTCATGGCATCTCGGGCCCAATTGTCCACCAACTTGTGCAGGTCATCTGTGAATGTGCCCTTTCTGCTGGAGGTCATGGCAGGAGGCTGAGTTTGGGCAGCTTGGCTGTTCACTGTCCCCCCAACAGTGTTTGTGCTGCTGGTCCCTAGAGTTAGAAGAAGCAACAGAATATAACCATTACATGGTGTTTGGATTATAATTTAATGAAGAGGAAAAGCTTCACAGAATGATGAATGGCAAGCCACAGAATGGGGAGGATGGATTGGGAAGCCATGCAACAAAGGAAGATTCCAAGTCCTTATTTAGCCAAATGTTTTGCCATAACAGGGCAATGAAACCAGATTCTCTTTAGGAGCTGCAGGTAAGGAAGGCTAAAGAACTTAGGACCATGGTTGGTACAAAGGGCAGGGCCCTCTTTCAGTCCATTCACATAGCATCTCAGAGGACTGAAACGTACTGCCAGTAAACGTTTCCAGCATCGATGAGGGAAGAGTGGGATGGTCAGTGAGGCTAGCTGTTCTAGAGTGTTAGAGAACGCAGGGCAAACAAGGTGATTTCTTGAGCACTGGGACAGGTTTCGAGTAGGAGTTACAGAAATGCAAAGACAGGTGTTTGGCCCAGGAAAAGACATAGTTCCCAAGCCATGTGGGACTTGGCCATAATCTTTAGCCATTCCTTAATGGAAAGAGGTGGTAAGAGAAACAGCATGCTCTGTTCAAAAACACTTTTCACGTGGACCCCATAAACACAAATTGTAAACATAAATTTGAGAGGAAATAAGGCTTCAACCTTTCCCAATTTCCTATGAGTGAAGAACCAAGTTTACTTGTGAGGGAGGTTTACTGTTTGCCTGAATCTTTCAACTCCAAGAAGGCATGCTTTTCCTGAAGATGACCTCAGTTTCAACTGGTTCCAGGATCCTCAGCCCTTCCACCCCCTTTCCCAGAACAGCAAGCACTCTTATGTGGAAGCAATAGGAACACTCAGCTGAGGCCGGGGTGCAAAAGGGAGGAGGAAGCTTTGAGGTGCAATGAAGGAGTTCTATTTCTATAGTTTGATGAGAAGAAAGGAGTCTGTGTCCTGCCTGATTTCGGCTCTGCAGGAGGGCACACTGAAGATTATGCGAAGAGGCAAGTTTTAGGGAAGAGGGAGAGAAGAGTCATGGTCTTGTTTGTATACCCTCACCCCACCTTCTTAGCAGATATCACATTTGCTATAGAATAAATAAAAGGTACTAAGTTGTGAGCACTAGGCCTTAAGATATCCCAGTAATGCTGGGGGCTACATAAATGCATACATTTTCCTGCTTTCAAGGTCAAAGCAGCACTGGAGCACAGCAGCATACCTGAAGCAACTCTGCCACTGAAAAGCCCTTTATGATCCATTGCTGGTCAAGTTTATACCACACTATCCAGAGATGGCACACACAAGCATGTCAGTACTCGAGAAACAGCTAATTCGGAGGTGAAGCTGCAGAGGAAGGTCACATGCTTCTTACCACCAAGGCTTGACATGGAACTACTGTAGTGTGTGCTAGCTCCCTTCTCAGTGCCCACGAGAGCCACAGCGAATTGCTCTTGCACGTACAGTGTAAAGGGAAGAGTAAGTTCCCCTATGGCACAGGAAACAGCCTTCCTCGAACAGCGAGAGTGAGACAGTGGTGGAATGGGAGGGAGGAAGAGGCAGTGAGGATGGCAGTCATGATGGTGAAGTCCAGAAGGCAAGCATATCATGCATGAGGACCACCATCTGGTTCGAATGGTGATTGCTTAGTGAGCTTGATGGTAAGTGAGCCAATTAAAACAAAACCAGACACTATCCCAAGTGAGCAGAGCTGTCAAAGCCAAATACAAGAAGCTCTGTGAGGTGAACACCAATTACAAAGCTCGTGCTGGGAGACCCCCTGCTCTGGTCTCATGCTTGTTGCCTTTCATGCTGTGAGGCCCCTGTATGACCAAATCTCATGTCTCACTTTAACTTATATTACACAGTAGTGGATTCTGAAGGAAAGGTTTATACCTTGAGGGAGAGTCAACCATACAGCTGACCTTCTTATTCTGGCTTCTGAAAACAGGTTTTCCCATTAAAGGAAATCACATCCCTTTCTGACTAGAAATAAACTCCTGGGAAAAGTTGACTATAAACACTAGAACATGTTGTGGATTTAGTCCATTTCAGTAATAAAGTGTCTAAGAACATTTTTAATGCAAACATTTCTGAGAACACTGTGTTCCTTCCAGAGTATACTGACTAACCTTTCTCAGTTCTGCTGAAAAGCTCTCAAAAGTAAGTGTATGCTGAACCACCCAAAATCTGTTCTTCAATTTTCTCCTGCTATAATACGTTTTCCCCACCCTGACACCGCCAGATCCTAGTAACAATAACCTATTAGTAGCCACAACTTACTGCCTAGTATATCCCAAGTATAGCGTTTTCTGGTTGACCTCGGTGGCCTGTGGGGTTTTGAACTGCCTGCACTTTAATGAAAAGCTACCAATCTAAGAAGCCAGACTCTACAAAGTTGTGCCTTTCACCTCACCAACCTAGCACATGTGGGGTAATGGGCTCTTGTATGCTGTGACCACTGCTGATTTTCCAGTGGCCGGCACATTTTGTTAACTAACAAATTCTTTCACAAAGGAGTCAGGAGTCCTTGATCTCTCTGTACATATCCATGGGCTTATCAAGCCATAATGCCACAGAGGCAGGCTTGCAGGGAGTCATCAATGAAAACACTGACTATGAGGTGATTTCTTAATCTGGAAGGATAGCCAGTGGTCAGCAAATAAGCATGTTAAATAATATATTAGAAAAGGGTGCGGAACTAGAGAGATGGAAATTGGGAATCAGGGAGTTGTGAGGCTTCAGGGTTCAAAGAACTCAAGGATAACAGGCTTTGCAATCAAGGACCAAAAGTAACAGAAAAATAAAAGATAATTACTACAGAGCTGGTTGCAAGGACAGACTTTTTTCACCATCTTCCCTGAAGCACAAAGAGAGAGCAATGTGTTAAAAATAAAGAAACATCAGTATAAAATATTTAGAATCTCCAAACAGCACACAAAGTCCCAGCAAGAGAAAGCAGGAGGGGGACAGACTGGTAGGACCTGGAGCCCTTGCCACAGATGTAGTTCTATGGGATGTATTTTACTGGCTGTTAGCTTTGACTTGGTTATATGATGGGCTGTGGTACCTCGCTGACAGAAGCTGGATTTCCATACCCAATCTTTGTATCTAGAAGTGCAATGCTCTGCATTAAGGTCTGGGAGGGGAGGAACTCCAGTCTCTCAGATCTCACTGCTTGAATTTCAAATACCCAAGCAGTCTTTCCATTGACCCTGTCCCGCTTTCTGTTTCTCCTGCTGGGTTGTTAAAAAGCACTCAAGTAAATGCATTAGCAATTCTACCACAGTGGGCTGATAGATATTACCATTGTTACAGTTTTCAATTAATTTAAATTGGCTAATATATTTCCACATCCTAGACATACTAGTACATACTAGTACTTTCCCCTCTAGAAAAATCTTTAAAAGTATATGGAAAACAAGCAACTTTTGAACATAAATAAAGCATTAAGGCAAGCCATGCTTCCAAACCATTATCTATTTGGAGAGCATAGAATAATGCATCCCAAACTAGTAAGACCTCCATGCCTATAAGCACCTGGTTTTTCTTTCCACATTTGCTTTAAATCTGCCTCCTGCAATTTGGTCACCAAGGCTTATAAGATAGACTAGTATACTGATGTCACCTTTCATTTTAGACCCAGCAGGAAGCGGTAAGATTTTAATATTTCTAAACACTTTTATTCAAAAAGAGTGTAATACCACCTACCTTTAAGAGTGTGATGAGAATTCATTGAATTAATTTGAAGTGGTATCTACCACATTATATTTTACAAAAAAGCCTTGGTTCTCTTTATTCCGTTAGACATTTCAGGTTGTATAACACTTGCCTCCTACTCTTAATGTCTTTTCATCTTTTAGCTGGACATATAAATTAAATGCTTATTTAAGCATCAAGATGTTAGTATGCTTGGTCCAGCCTAGTTTAACCAGAAAGTTATATGAATGCTCAAAAATCACACACGCTTGGAAAACTACCAAACTGGTAACGCCTTCCACACCTTTGTTAATTAGCTTTGGCTAGTGATATGAGAGGCCCAAGGACCTCTGAACCATACACAGAAATAGTGATGGCCTTAGCACATGCATTTAAAAAGCACTTCAATAACCACATCAGAAGTTTGAGGCCTTAACAGAGACCTTTATTTAAACTCTAGCAAAAGTTTTCTACTTAAGCCCTACATTCATTTTAAAAAATTTATTTCCATTTACATTTGCGGGCCAATCAGAGGGAAATGATGTGTGCTTCTCCCGTGCTGCCTGTTTCATGTATGTGATTTGTAGAACAACCCTAGAAGACAGGTGTCATCATCTTTTCACCGTTGGGAAAGATGGGTGGAGAGGTTTTGCTATTGTGCCTTTAAGGAGAAGGCTTGGAAATCTCAGCAATTAAGGTAAAAATACCATTTTCACTTGCAGGTGCTGGGATTTGGTCTTCAACAGAATAAATGCTTTATGAGAGTAACTACACTGAAAACCTTTCAACACCTGATTTTATGAAATTAGAAGGTAGTGGTGGTGAAAGGATCCAATGAGGAAATTCTAGCATCTTTTCAACTGATAGATGGTTGCTTAATTGACCAGAAAAAGATTCCAGTCTCCTCTGAAAATTAGGGTGTAACTTTTACCTGCTGCCAGGATCTAAGTGCATCAGTGATCAACATGGGCAGCACTGAATAGGACAAAAATTGTCTTCATTATTTTTTCTTTTTTTTTTAAAAAAAACCATTGATTGATTTGAGAGAGTAAGGAGGAGGAAGGAAGGGCAGAGGGGACGGGGGGGGGGCATGGAGAGGGGCGGGAGAGAGGGAGAGAGAGAGAGAGAGAGAGAGAGAGAGAGAGAGAGAGAGAGGCATTGATTTGTTGTTCCACTTATTGATGCATTCATTGGTTGATTCTTGTATGTGCCCTGACTGGGAATCAAACCCTTGACCTTGGTGTTTATCAAGAAGATGCTCTAATCCAGTGGTTCCCAACGTGGGGCACACACCCCACAGGGAGGCAATTTGATTTTTAAGGGGGCCAATTCAAGAATGAGTTATTAACAGTGAATTTTTGCATTTCTTATGGTTCTAAGGGCCTCATATACATATATAAATATATAGTGACATATTTATGAATTTCAGTTCTCTATTATGTTTTGAAACTTCTTCATATTATTTTTTAACACTTTCTTAGTGATTTCTTCCTCAGTACTTCACCTGTCCTTTCGTTCTTTTATTTTTCTCTTTCATGGATGCCATGTTCTTTGGAAGCTTGTTTAGGCCAAGTTAACGGCCTTTTAGGCTTCCTAAAACAGTGAGTAGGAGTTCACTTTTTGAATAATAAGAATTATATATCACAGGCGGGCATCTGGATTTTAGAAATGCTTAGGTGGGGCATGGCCAAAAAAAAGTTGGGAAACCACTGCTCTAACCACTGAGTACCCTACCAGGGTCCAGTCTTCATTATTCTGAAAGACCCAGCAATCTATGTAACCTAACACCATATCTACATGGATCTATGAAGAAGCAATTCTATCAGAAAGTTATTTTGAAATTTATAGAAACCTGTTATTATTTCTACATCTTTTATAATAATTAATGTAGGGACCCAAACTTCTGAGGGTAATAGTAGTTCAGCCAAGCCGCTGAGTAAATGATATACAAAGACAAATGAAAATGGACTGCGTGAAATATCAGATCCAAGCAGCAGAAAAACAAGGGCGAGGAAGGAGTAAAGGTGTTACACACAAAGAGCCAAGCAGGGCGTACTCAGAAATCGGGTCCTCCTGCCACCAGGTTTGAATGTCACCTGCTCAGATGCACAGTTAAACTTCGCACAGCCTGTGGGAGGGGAGAAACAGGGAAGAACAGAGAGAGAAGAGACAGAACACAACTACAAGATGTTAGAAACTTGAGGCTGGAGTGGTGAAATGCGCTACAGTGACACACAGAACAAGCTTCTAGGGAAAGGTCAAATATACAGGACAGGAAAATTAGGCCTCAATTCCCTCCACCTGCAAAAAGCTTTTCACAGGGGAATAATGCTAGGTAGTTTGAGCTCTTTCCAAAAAGTACATCTTCAATTTCAGTGAAATTGTGACAAAGGTACCTAAGCTACCTATCATATTTTCCCCATTCTTTTCTCCCCAGACAGTGAACTCCTTTCATACTTGTTCTAAGGTTACTAGAAGCTCTTTCCTCTACAGGAATGTTCTGAGCAATCATTAATAAATAAAACTATTTGAAAAGTAAATAATCTATATAAAAAATTGAATTGTAGGGCAATTCATCTTAGTATGCTACTCCCATACTTAGAAATTTAAAAAGCCCACATTAGCTAATCCAGCAAATTAGCTTTCAGAAACTGCTAAAACTCCTTCGAATTTAGTGCAGGAAATCTGTCTAGTCATAAGTTGCAAATCCCAAATGAGTCCTTCATATCGGTCACAAACCTAACCATTTGCTGTAATCCTTTGAAAAGAAGCTATTTCACCTGATAGGAGCAATGAGTGCACCTACCTAATCACTTCCCACCCCTTCAGCTCATAGATCCTTGGAAGTGTACAACACACAGGCGATGTTCTGGTCAACTGGTCTTCCAACTCACCTTAACAATAAGCTACTCATTAGGCTTTTGTCCTAGACATGGCAATATCTCCATTTTAATGTTTTTGGAAGATGACGGTTGTTTTACTTTCTTACCTTGACCTGGAGCAGAAAGGCTTGGTACTGAAATGGCACCATCACTGGTGAAGGCTGAATAGAGGTTGTCACTGGAGGGAGATGGCTTAAGAGGCTGTAATAGCTGATTTTGCCCAGTCTCTGGGATGTTGCCAGGAGGTTGGAGGGTTTGCTGAGGGTGCAAGCCTGAAGCTGCACTCTGACCAGACAAATTACCTGCCAGAAGACAAAGTGGCATGAAGAAACAAGGACAGCTTTCCCAATGCACTTTCATAGGCACTGTCCTTATTCTTCCAATTCGTCCCACTGAGTGATTAATGGGCCAAAAGCTATGACTAATGAATAGGAGAGGAAGTGGGGAATGGCATGAGAATCAACAGTTAATAGGGCCATAGGAAATTATCCTGAAAGTTTTTTAGCTTTAGAAAACCTAGATGGATCACAAATCTGAGCTGAGTGGATGTGTAGAACCGTGGTCACCAACTGGTGGTCTGCAGACCTCTGGTGGTCCACGAGGTCCGAAAGGTCGGCAACAGCTGGTTTAAGGAAACTTTTGGAGCAGCGGTTGCCAACTGGTGGTTCGCGGACCACTGGTGGTCCATGAGGTCCGAAAGGTTGGCGACCACTGGTCTAGAACAGTGGTCGGCAAACTCATTAGTCAACAGAGCCAAATATCAACAGTACTTCTTCAAAAGAGACTCGCCCAGGCCGAAAACTGACTTCTGCGCATGGGCCACGAAGTTTCAATCACACTGTACGTGCGTGCCCGCACGTGGTATTTTGTGGAAGAGCCACACTCAAGGGGCCAAAGAGCTGCATGTGGCTCGCGAGCCGCAATTTGCCGACCACTGGTCTAGAATATATAGATACGAGAGAATTCCATTTTGCAGTTCCACAACTCTACTATAAAACACTGAGTTGGATCATGATACAAATAGGTTTGGCAAGCAGTGTCTGCTTAATTTTTCTTGTAAGCATGTCAGATCAAGTACAGAAGAATTGTTAAAAATAGTTGCTATTCCTTAAAATCACATCTCTACTACTGAATTGGTTCTAACGTGCTAGAGAAAATTTGGGTCTCTAAAACTTCCAGAGAATGGAAAGCTGCTAGAAAGTTTGCAATTGCTCTCCAACATATTTGTTAGCCCTGCAGAGCAAATATGAGGTATACACTTATTTCAGACTTTTTTACTTTTCAACTAATTATCTGTTAACATTACCATAATTTCACCAAAGGGTAAAAACTGTTTATCACAATTTAAATAGACCTAGAATTCATTACAAGAGATTATGATTTAACTATTTTTTAGTTACAAACATTAGGAAATTCTTTGTCCCAATATAGGTAAATAGAATAAAAACTTTAACCAAGGAAATTATCACTTAAGACATACTCAAATATCTATATGAAATTTATATTTATTCCAGTCACAATTATGACCAATTCATTCATTGAAAGGAAGAACCAACCTGAACTTTACTATGTACAGGTGAAATATATTTTCTTCTAACTGCCCAAGAGTTTGGAGAAATATGAGGTATGTGTTACCAGGCAAAGCTAATGTTTTATCCTTAAGAACAACTATAAATGAAGACTACCCATGGATAGCAATATAGATTACAATGAAATAGGCCATTGAACTCAACCAGTCTACTTCCATAAATTAAAAAAGAGGTACTATAAATATGGGGAGTAGAGAATTCAAGGAAGTAAGAATATTAGGAAAGTCAATTAAATTCTTTTGATATTTAACAAAAACAACAAATGTTCAATAGGTTATATACACTGTTGAAGACAGAAATAAAAGACGGGACACCATGGCTGACCTGGTCCACGGCTTCTTACCTGAAAGCTGGGGGCTTTTACTGCCCAAGGAACTGATGCGACTAGATTTGCTGCCTTTGCTTTTAGTGGGTCGCCTTCTTCTTCCTGAGAGAGGGGCAGCTGGGGGAATAATGACTGCAGGGGGAACCTTGCCCAGTTTGGTATACAAAGATTCAATTTCATGTTTCTGGCGACTCTGCAGATCTTGAATCTCTTTAAGATGTCTATGAAAGATAACCAGACATAATTCAAAAATATTAAAACCACCTTTGTTCAAACAAGACTTAACTACATATTCTTTAACCTCCATTGAAGTGCTTACTTTTGAATCTTTGCCCCAAATGTATTTAATCTAGTTTCTACTACACCTTGAGATTCTAGTTTGTCAACTCATCTTGATGGCCTCCATTACCCAAGCCAAAATCCAACAAGCTCCCAGGCAACAAATGGTTGATGATATAGTAGGAGAAAAAGATTTCCTGGCTTTTGAGGTTATACACAGGAGAACTGAATTTGCTACTCTGATTCAGTTTGTCAAATATGACCAACAAAACATTTTAACACTGGTTCATTTGGTAAACTAATAAATAGCTAAGACTAGGTTAATAATTATAAAAAGTGCTGTTAATAAAAGTAATTTAGTAACAATAACACAAAAGATGCTGACAAAGTTCTATAACTAGAAATGCTGTGGGTCCTGATGAGTACAGGAGACCCAATGAGAACTACATTCAGATACTAGCTCTTGCCCATTACCCTTTCTTTAAAAGAAATGAGACATAGCCCTAACTGGTTTGGCTCAGTGGATAGAATGTCGGCCTGCAGACTGAAGGGTCCCAGGTTCAATTCCGATCAAGGGTACATGCCCAGGTTGCAGGCTCGATCCCCAGTAGGGGGCGTGCAGGAGGCAGCCAATCAATGATTCTCTCTCATCATTGATGTTTCTATCTCTCTCTCCCTTCCTCTCTGAAATCAATAAAAATATATTTTAGCCCTGACCAGTTTGGCTCAGTGGATAGAGCATCAGCCTGCGGACTGAAAGGTCCCAGGTTCGATTCTGGTCAAGGGCATGTACCTTGGTTGCAGGCACATCCCCAGTGGGAGGTGTGCAGGAGGCAGCTGATTGATGTTTCTGACTCTCTGTCCCTCTCCCTTCCTCTCTGTAAAAAATCAATAAAATATATTAAAAAATATATATATATATATATTTTAAAAATCCTATATAATAAAGAGGGAATATGCAAATTGACCATCACTCCACCACAAAGATGGCGGCATCCACAGCAGAGGCCGAATTCCTGTAACGAGCCTTAATGAGCAATCAGCAGGGACTTGTGGCTGCGCCTACCCCCCTCAAGGCTTGACAGGGGACATCAGGCCACCCCCCCCACTCAGCGGGGCTTGACGGGGGACCTCAGGCCACGTCCCCTGCCCCGGCACCGGGCAAGGGGACCTGAGGCCGCACCCCCTGCCTAGCGGGGCTTGACAGGGGATCTCAGGCTGTGTCCCCCACCTGGCAGGGCTTGACGGGGGACCTCAAGGCGTGCCTCCCGCCCTGGCCCAGACTGGGGGACCTCAGGCCGCGCCCCACACCCCAGCGCTGGGCCAGGGAACCTGAGGCTGCGCCCCCTGCCCAGCAAGGCTTGACAAGGGTGGGACTGGCCGAGTCTGAATTTAGCCCGATGGGGAGGGGGGGCGTGGCTGGGTCTCAAATGATTTTGAGGCGCATGTGGGTGGGTGGGGACTTGACTCTGGTGCGCCCCAGACTCTAGCAGGAGGAAGATTTTCATATACATTTTACTAATTTTTTTTTCATCTCTGACACTTCTATTATAGAGAAAGGGCAAATAGCAATATTAAAATATTTCCTCTAATTAATCCCTTTTTAATGTGCACGAATTTCGTGCACTGGGCCACTAGTCCTATATAATAAAAGGGTAATATTCAAATTGACCCTAACAGCAGAACGACTGGGAATGACTGGTCACTATGACACACACTGTCATCAGTGCACTCCCACAGGGGGAGCTCTGCTCAGCCACAAGCCAGGCTGATGGCTGCCAGCACAGTGGTGATGGTGGGAGTCTCTCCCGCCTCCTCAGCAGTGCTAAGGATGTCCAACTGCAGCTTAGGCCTGCTCCCCACTGGCAAGCGGACATCCCACGAGGGCTCCCGGGCTGCCAGAGGGATGTCTGACTGCCAGCTTATGGACATCCCCCGAGGGGTCCCAGACTGCGAGAGGGCACAGGCTGGGCTGAGGGACCCCCCTGAGTGCACAAATTTTTGTGCACCGGGCCTCTAGTTTATATATAAAAGCCTAAGCAACTGGTCGACTGGTAGCTATGATGCACACTGACCACCAGGGGGCAGACACTCAATGCACAGGCATGGAAACATGGAACAGAATGATGAATCTCAGAGGGAAGGGGGGGGATTAACCAAAGATCTTATATGCATACTAAGGGCCCCTCAGCCTGGCCTGAGGGGATCGGGCCAAAACCGACCCAGTACATGGATTTGTGCACCAGTGGGGTCCCTCAGCTTGGCCTGTGGGGATCAGGCTGAAACCTGTCCAGTGCACAGATTCGTGCACCAGTAGGGTCCTTTGGCCTGGCCTGCAGGGACTGGGTCAAATCTGTGCACTGGGCCTCCAACATCCCCTGAGGGTTCCCGGATTGTGAGAGGGTGCAGGTCAGGCTGAGGGACCCCACCGGTGCATGAATCCACACACCGGGCCTCTAGTAAATAAATAAATAAAAGAAATGAGACATAAGCATATTGTAGTGAAAAGAATACTAATATAGGCACCACAAGTTAGGTCTTAATTTTGCCATTATTCTTCATAGGAGAAAACATACGTACTTTTCTCGTAGTCGTCGCAGCTCTAACTTTAAGTCTTCATCTTCAATATCTGACTCATTGTCACTACTCATGTAAGAGGAGTTGAGTGAGTTACTAAGGCTTTGACTTAGATTTTGGATAGGAAGGCTCCTTGAGCTCAGTTGAGGGGGGGAGTGTGGACTACCTGAACCATCATCCACATCCCTACTTAGGAAGGCAGCCTCCAAGTCAGAAGATGGTCCATTCAGATGCGAAGGATCTGACAGTTCGGGCTTTTCTTTCTTTGGTATCGCAGCAGGAAGAATAGTTTGTTCCAAATCCATAAAAGGAGATGCCATTGGTCCCTCTTTCTTTGCCTCTGTGACCTTATCTTCAGTTCTTGATACAGAGAAACGACCTACTTGGTTTGCTGTAGTTGTCACCTGAAAACGTCCAACCTTGGTAGGCTGCCCAATTTCTGACTTTGCTTCTGAGGCAGGAGTTTTGTGGGCACCATCTGGCATATCTGAAGAGATATCAGGGATGGTCATCCCATTAGGTTCTGGCTTCACCAGGGTACTCTCTGGACTACTACTTGATAGCACTGAGGATTCTGAAGTGCTGGATTCAAAACGAACAGACTTTGCATCTTCAGACTTATTTTTACCCTCTTTCTGGGCATCATCCATTGCAACTGAAACCTAATGGAAAGAGACCAAAGTAAGATTCTTTTAAAAGTCCCTAATATTCAATTTTTAGAATGGACCATTCAAAAAGAAAATAACAGAAACACTTTATTTCCTAGCCAGTAAGTAGGCTGATTATCCCTTTACATAGTCCCTCCATTTTTTATTGTGAAAATAAATAGAATATCATTATAGAGAACAACACATCTGTACTGAGATATACAGATTAGATGTATATTCTAAGTGCCTGGCTAAGCTTACTAAGTAAATTACTACTTTTATATCTAATGCACCAGACTCACATTCAAATCTTAGTAAAAATATAAATAACAACTGGTCATGGAATGTTGGAGATTTCTTGTGAATAAGAAAAACTGCAAAGATTAAATCCAATAAATATTAAATGCCAGCTAAGCTTCAAGAATCAACACAACCAAGCATTATCATGAAAATGTGAACCCTGAGAAAAAGATACCTACTAAGAAGGGCTCCTGGTGGCTAACTGGCCTCAAATGAAAACAAAACAAAACAAAACAAAACAAAAACAGAGCTTAGCAGCCATTTTCATACAGGGGCCTCTCAAACAAACTGTCCTTTAGGGAGAAACCTGCACTGAACTACCTGCCTGCATTATTTCTGCCATCTGATCCAGCCCCTATAAGAGAGTTCCTAGAATATTTTAACCAATAGGACAGATGCTTTCTCCACCAAATCAGAGCTGAGCAGTTATCAACTTCTTCAACCAATCAGAGTGGCTCTATTCTGTCCTGTGCCTTTTGGACCAAACTGTGAGGAATTGGGAGTCTTCATTTGCATGAGGATGGATCAATCAGGGACCATGGGTGGGGAACTTCAGTCTATATAAATCAGCTCCTTTCTGGCTCTGGGAGCATACTTTCCCTCTCCACCAAAAGCTGATGATTGCATTTCCCTAGCTGAAGGTATCTCACCAGAGCAGAGCAAAGCAGATCAGTGCAGGCCAGAGTTTACAGTATGGAGCAGCCCAGACCAGCAAGGAGCAGAGCTGTCTAGCCAGAGTGGAGCCTGGCCTCAGGCCTGCCTCACAGCCATGCTGTTTTCATAGCCATGCTGTATCACAATTGAGATGTTTTGCACTGAATAAAGTTTCCTTCTTCACAGCACCCCAAATTGGGGATTCTTATTGCTGTTGAACTGGTGCCAACAACCATTGGCTGACAAGAATAATTGAAAAGTAGTTGTTAAATTAGTAATAAAAATGATTTTCTAAGCTTGCTTGGCACTGTATCCTAACAGCCAGAACATGTTCCCTTGTTGGGCCAACTGGGAAAATAAAATGATATAATCACTTGACCTAGTATTTTTACTTCAGAAATTAATCCTAAAAGATTTTCCTAAACATGAAAAATATTTTATATACAAAGTTGTTTACTGTAATCATTATGTTGGAAAAGCAACCTAATGACTAATAAAATAACAGGTGAATGGTTAGGTAAATAAATCATTAGATGGGGGAAAAGCTATAAAGTATCATTCAGAGTTCAGTGAAGCAAGGGCAATTTTAGGTATACACATATACAGGAAAAAAGGAATGGAAGGAAAGAACACCCCAAAAAGTAATCCTGGGGAGGGTGGAAGGATAGGCAGATAGTATCATTTTCTATTATTTATCTACTGTTCTAAGTATTCCATATTTTCTTTAATAGCATGTATTATTTTGAATAGGGAAAAATAGTAAGAGCTATAAAGTTCTATACAAAAGAAATATATCATCAAATTGGCAATTAGGTCCCAAAAGGTAGGTAATAATTCTGTTAAATATATATTCCCCCCAAAAGGGGAATCAAAGCAAGGAAAAGTGATTGTCTTACCTGAAATCGCCCCGT